TATCAGGCTTTGTTCTATTTACTTTAAAATGGGAACCTTTGGCTCAGTTTCAAAGCAATCAAATTCTCTTTACTAACCGTCTGCTTCATTATGCACAGTTCTCACAAGATTTAATCTTTTGGCCAAATTACATAAAGAAATATTTGTGGTTTTTTTTTTTTTTTTTTTTATATATATATACTTTAATAAAGCCATGAGACTATATCACATAAGGAACAAAAAAAAAAAAAAAAAATAGTTCTTACCTGATTTCACCCCATATACCAAACAGATGAAGAAACACAATTTCAACATACAGAGAAGGAGAAAAGTAATACGAAACATCCACACACAAGTAGCAAATTAAGTGCTTCCTTATAGCATACCAGAATTCTAAGTTAACTGAATGCCCCTGATGAAGTAGGTGACATGTAGAGTAGGAAGCAGAAAGCAAACTCTATTCAAGCTTCTGCAATTCATGACTCCTCCTATTGAATGACTTCAGTAGGTAGGGTGATTTCTGGGTCTTCAGGGTTGGGACTGTTTTTTAATCTATTTCCCTCTCTCTTCAGTTATCACCAAGTTTACACGTAAGCAGTTGACATTATGTTTTACAGAGAACTCCATTAGGAAGCAAAGTAGCTAGGTGTACATCATATTCAGAGATCCACCGTGTCTGTGGTTGTGTGGTTTTTTTTTTTTTTAAAGTGTGTCATTTAATTGTAATTAGAGGCACTGAAATGGGCAAAAGAAACTTGCAACAAAAAGTCACTTGGGTGACAGAAGTTGTTTTATGTAAGAACTTGAAAATAATCATAGCATCATAGAACAGTACACATACTGAGTTGCAAGAGACCCACAGGGATCATTGAGTCCAACTCCTGGCTCCACACAGAACCACCCAAAATCAGACCATGTGTCTGAGAGCGTAGTCCAAACACTTCTTGAAATCTGGTGGGCTTGGTGCCATGACCAAGGGGAACTTGTTCCAGTGCACAACCACCCTTTCAGAGAAGTGCCTTTCCCTAAACCCCAGCCTGACCCTCCCCTGTCCCAGCTCCATGACATTCCCTCGGGTCCTGTCGCTGTCCCCAGAGAGCAGAGCTCAGCGCCTGCCCCTCCGCTCACCTTGTGAGGGAGCTGCAGGCTGCCAGGGCATGCTGCTGACTCACATTCAGGTTGGTGCTTACCAAAACACCCAGATCCCTTTCTGTGGGGCTGCTCTCCAGCCTCTCTTCCCCACATCTGTATGTACGTCCAAGGTTGCCCTTTCCCAGGTGCATAATCCAGCAGGATCCAGTTGGGTGGTGCGGTTGGGGTGCCCGTTGTGAGGGTGGCCCTTGGCCACCATGTCACTGCCAGGGAGCCCCTCATGGGTGGTGGAAAGGGTTCTGGGCACACCCTGGCAGGTGACCCATGAGGAAAAGGTGAACGAATGGGGAGAGCTGCCCATCCAGCCACTGGCTGTGGGGCAGCTGCTCCCTCAGCCTGTCTTAATTGGGGTTAATTCTTCATCATGTCCCAGAGCTGCCTTTTCCAGAGTCCCTTGGGTCATAACCTTCATTATATATACACACATTCTGATATATATATACATATATATAAATTTCAAGTACTAAATATATATACATGTATATAATTAATATACATACAGAATCACAGAATCATTAGGTTTGGAAAAGACCTCCAAGATCATCTGGTCCAACCGTCCCCCTACCACCAATGTCACCCACTAAACCGTGACACTAAGCACCACGTCCAACCTTGCCTTGAACACCCCCAGGGATGGTGACTCCACCACCTCTATGGGTGTTCCAATGCCTGACTACTCTTTCTGAGAAGAAATGGCTCTCCCTTGTCATCTTGGAGGTCTCTTCCAACCTAGATGATTCTGTGGTTCTGTGTTGAACTTCATGCAGTCAATGACTGGCCCATCTCTAATTCAGCATTTCTATAGGAGAGAGATGGAGCATACAGCCCCGGGCTTAGGAATCTCACACAGACAATGAGTTGCTGTGTATTTGGGGTATGTCACTGAACATCATTCTCTCTGTGTCCCCTGCTCTAAAACAAATGAAGGAACATCTACCACTGTGAAGCTCATTTATTTACAAACCATTTCACTGGGTAGGTGTAAGAAGACAAACTTAACTTTCTTGGACTTCACAGTAAGGCAAAGAGGCAGATAGACTCTGAATTACTGGAATGAGAAGTCTGGATGCTCAGTTTGTCTATATGTAGCTCCCAATTATTTCCACTGTAGGAAATAGAAAGATGTCAGAACCACCCAAATATGAGTGAGACATGTCCCAGAAATGTTTGCTGTGTAGTATATCTTTCACAGTGCTTCTAAACATATGTTCTAGGTATAATTATTTTTCTTCAAGAACAGTTAGCAGGAGGAATTCAGTATTAGCTTTCAAGCAGTAAGTCTCTTCAGGTGGTTTTACAACCATGAACAGCTCTACAAAGCTGTGCTACAAAAGCTAACAGCTTCTTTCTGCAGCTGATAGCCTTTAAGAAGACTCTTCAAAGTCTTTACCCCTTTGAATTCAGCTACAAGGAGAAGACAATGCAGTACATCTGCTCATTTGAAATTCAACCCAGCTTAAGCAGTGTCTTTTGATTATTTTTGTTCCCGTTTCTCAATTTTGTCAGTCTATTTTGAGCAATGTTCAATAAGGTAACTCGTTATTTCTTTGCCTTCCTCTTCATCGCAAATTTTTAACACTTTGTCCAACTATTATTATAAAAGCACAGACCTACTGGTATTAAATATTATTTATAAGAAGTAATGCTGTAGTGTAAATTTGGTTCCTTTCCCCTACTTTTTAACATAGATCAATGTTACAACAAAAACTTCATGATTATTCATATACAAGTTAAAGCACGGAGAGCTCAACTCCACTGAAAATACCTAGTACTGGAACCAGTAATGAACTCTAGTAAAACATCTCTTGTATTTATCTAAGAACCTGTCACTTATCTTAGAAGAAAATCTTACATATGCACCTATACATATACCTAATAACACTAGCTGTAAACAAATTGCTCACACTTGCTATTTTACATATGACCAAGGAAAAGAAAGGAAATTTTTAGTTCCTTCTAAAGTGAAAACTAATAATCCCAACTAATGTGTAAGTACTGTGCCCATGTTGATATAGTCTATGATATATCACCTATGTTGATATAATAACATGTGTAAAAAAAAATGAAAGAAAAAAAAATTTAAGCCCTCTGAAATCAGGATTAGAAAAGGTTTCCAGCACCAACTGAACACCCAGAAAATTTTGTGATATTAATCAGCTTGTTGAACGAGTGCTCGTGGGACTCACCACTGTCACATAAGGGAATTATTCACAAACAGTGTCATGCCACTTAGAAATTCATAAATCTTAACTACAGTTCCTGTTTACAGTGTAGTTTCCACTGACATCTCAGTGTCAGGTAAATCCATCAAGGGGATTGTGAGTTTCAGATACACACTCACAAACAGATATGAGAGCCTCAAACTTCAGGTATTACCTGTCCCTCTTCTCTGCATATTATGTCCCATGGTTTTCTCAGAAGGATATACTTTTCTTGCATTGAAATTCAGTTACCTGCTGCTGAAGTGGCTTGTGCAACCACTGGAGGATCACTGCAGTACCTCTCAAGTACCCTGTGACTTGCAGTGCTCAGAAATGTAAGGGTAGCACCTCTTGAACGAACCACAATGCATTTGGGACAGCCCTCAGTCTGTCAGCTGTTATAAAAACCCAAAAGACTGGCCAAGTGTTCAAGTTAAAAAATATATAAAACCTTCATTTTATTGCAGTGCAAGATTATTATGATTTCCAGATATCAGAACGGCAGTCTTACACTTCATTTTATGCCCAAAAGTTTGTGGTAGAATAACAGTTAAAAATGCTACAGAACCCTTGCATGCTTTTCAAAATTAAGATCAAGTTCTTATGCAAGTCTTGATATCCTGATCTGTGGTCACACGTATTTCCCCTTCTAATCTTCTCTCTACCCCAAAGATTTCTTAATCTTGGAAAATCCCATTCTTATAAGAATTCTCATTTCTCTTTTGAATCAAGCCACTTCTCCAGAACAATTACTGATTCCCCTCTAGCTGCTAGCTTTTGAACTCTACTTCCCTCCTTGCAAGACAAAATCAAATCTCTGTTCTGCAATGCACTGTGTTTAAGTATGGAAAAAAAAATAAATAAAAAAATGAAAAATCTGAAGATTACAAAGTGAAACACCCTGACTGTGTCTGGAAAACTATTACATTTCGTTGTTAGTTGTACATTGACACTTGTAATTCCTGTAAACTGATTTTTAAATAGGTGCAAGAAAAACAGAAAGTTATTTACTCATTTTTAGCAGAGACTTGACAGGTCTGCGACTAAGCCTTCATGAGAAAATAATGGGCAGAGGGAAAACACATTATCTATGCTTGGGGGAAAAAAAAAAATAAATCTTTGAAAAGATTCCTTACATTTCTGTCATTGACTTCTAAAAATGTGCCTCTTTGTAAAATAACACTTTAAAACATATACACTCAATGTTACGCGTATGTATGTGCTTGAAACCTGAACGTAGTAAGCACGTAACAGTGGACTGGCATGCAGGTGTAACTACAGCTTTAAAGACAACAGTCATTTTCCAGTTCTTTTCACTTCTTGAGAAAAGTACAACCTTTGACTCTTCACATGTAAATTTTATTAGTAACCATTACAATACTTGAGGGTTTTAAAGGGGAGGGTGTCAAGAGGACGGAGTCAGTCACTTTTCGGGTGCCTGGCGGCAGGAGGAGAGGCAAGGGGCACACTGGAGCAGAGGAGGTTCTGGCTCAATGTGAGGGGCACTTCTGCACTGAGGGTGACAGTGCTGGGACAGGCTGCCCAGGCAGGTCGCGGAATCTCCTTCCCTGGAGATACCCAAAACCCGTCTGGTGCCACCCTGCGCAGTGCGCTGTGCCTGGCGGGGGGGTTGGACCAGAGGCGCCTCCTCCCGCAGCCGCCGCGTTGCCGGGGCACCGGGCCCGCCCCGACGCCGCCGTGTCCGCGGCCGGGGCCGCCATGTCGGGGCCGGGGCCGTGTGCGGGGCCGGGGCGGGCCGGGGAGGCGGACAGGACGCTGTTCGTGGGCAACCTGGAGAGCCGAGTGCGGGAGGAGATCCTCTACGAGCTCTTCCTGCAGGTGGCGGCGGGCCCCGGGCGGTGGGGAGCGGGGGGGGCGGCGGCCCCGCGGGTGGCTCCGTGTCTGCTGCTGGCGGGCGGGGGGCGCCGGGGGCTGCGGCCGGGCCGAGCTGCGCCCCGCTCCCTGCCCCCTTTTCCAGCTTTTCTCCAGGGTTTTCCTCGCCTCTGCCCTGCTTGTGCAAGCTTTCGCTCCGGAAAGGGGCCCCGAGATAGTGAGGAAGTTAAACAGGTTAAAAAAAAAAAATAAAAATCTTTTATAGTTTTTCTATATCGATTAAGATTTTTTTTTTTTTTTGATCAAGAATTTTATTAAGAAAAATCAGTGCAAAAGCTGACAATGTGTCCAGCACGGCTGCAGCAGTTAACGTGGTGGGACAGGCAGTAGGAGTGGTGGGTTGTGGGTCTCCCACCTACATAACCTTTATAACCTTTATAACGCAATGTTTCGTGTTTTAAGGCTCGAGGAGATGCTGATTCTGTCAGTGGGGTCACCACCCCCTGCCTCCATTTCTTGCCATTTTCCCCAGGACGTGGAGGGCTTGCTGAAAGACAGCAAATGTGGCTGAGCCAGGCTTATTAACCTGACAGGAGTAAGGAAAAGGCAGGGAGCATCATATCAGTAATGCAAGCATCTAATTGCAAGGTGGATTGACAGCAGTCGGTGACAATGGGGCATTTCTCCGGGCCTGATACAATCAGCATGTATGAAGCTCAGCCTGGACAGTTCAGCCACTAGCACCATGATAAATGTGCATCTGCCAGTCTACTGATTACACCTGGTCTCGGAAGGAACCTTGCTTCCTTCAGGGGTTTTCACACAACAGTACAAAAATAGAGGTGGGCAGAATAATCTGTTCTTCTGCTATGCCATTTGCTAATTAGAACTACTTCTGCTCACTGTTTTTATTCCACTGATTAATCTGATATTCATCTTGTTCATCTAAGCAAGGTATCAGCACACTACTCTGTGTGCATTGAAAGGCATTTTTGTTTGGTTTGTTCTAGCTTTGTGGTGGTTTAGGTGATTCCAATTCTTCCTACCTTCTCGCTAAAATTATCTAAGAAACAGTTGTTTCTTTATTTCTTATTTTCTACACAGTATTCCTACCTGTTTCCAATAGCATTCTGTTGTGTAACTTTAAAAGTTAAGTTACGAGGCTTGTCTTACCAGAGGGTATGAGTAACGCCACACAATTCCCAGCATAAAAGTGATGAAAAAAAGTGGTTGTTCTCAGAATACAGTTTTGTATGAATCTTCTGCATAATCTGCTTCAGTCATGCAACTGCTGACTTCTGTCTGGGTTTTCACATCACCTGAATTAATACCTGCTTAACTTTTTCCTTCTGTTCATCGTATTCTCATTCAAGTTTCTCTCTTTGCTGCAACAGCACATGCTTCCTGTTGCAGTATTGTCCTTTCTTAGGCAGCATATAGTTCAACCTGCCTGCAGTGGTACAGCCCTAAAAATGCACTCCTGAGCTGCAGCTTTTCCCCATCAAATTACGAGAAAATATCTATAATTATTTCTAAACTATTAATATTTTTTTATTTATGAACAGGAAGACTACCGAATTAAGACTGATCTGCAAAGCATTTGAGCATGTTACTTCTAGTTCTTGAAGAACCAGATTCTCCTCATTAGGCAAACAATCAGAAGACTGGATATATGCCGTTTTTAGAAAAACTGCAGTGTAGTGCAGACAGCAACAAAAAAATGCCTTAAAAAGCCAACTCAAGCAAAAATGAGCATGTTCAGAATCTCACTGAAATCCCCTTTAAAAAAAAAAATAATTAAATAAAGCCACCATACTTGAAGATACTTGGAAAGACAAAATCAACATATTGAAGATTGCCTGCGCAGGACAATCTAGGTAGTATCCATTGCTGTATAGCCCGATCATCGTTCTGCACCAATAATAAAAACTGGTACATTATTTTTGATCCTTAATATTTATTGTCTGTATGATTCTTCTGCTTTCACGAGGGCTGGGGAGGGAAGAGGGAGAATAATACTCATGTTTCATCAAGAGCATCTTACTTAAGCGAGTAGTTTATAGACAGCTTGCAAAAGCATACAGCAATCAGACATTATTATCACAGATGACAGTCCTTAATATTCTCAGTCTGACATAAGAAAGGGTATAATAAGGAAGATGGCTCCAAATCATCACTCTGAATGCTCACAGCAGACAAATTGCAGATTTGTTGTTTGACAATAATCATTGAAAGTGCAGAATAATAAAGTAGATCACTTTCTATGGCTTATTTTCTTCATCTGAGCATATGCCGTGTGTTTATTATGAATGTTGAACTGTTTATGCACACTTAATTGCTGTGAAGCTGTTATAACGAATTAACTTGTGCTTGCCTAAAGCTGCAGATGACTTCTGAGTGACTTTTACTGGAAAGTACGCATCATATCACTAGTAGGAGTGTAAGCCAGTTCTGCTGTTTTTATTCAGAACAATATAAATTATCCATCTACTACAGTAACATAGACAACGTTTGGTAATTTTTGTAACTGTATCTGATGGAATTTTTTTTGTCACTTAAAGTGACACCTCATTTCATACCTGGATAGTATATCCTCTTAAAGATAAGTTGTTGCCATCCTTAACATTCCAGATCTGTGGCAGAAGACTTGTTGGCCATTTGTTTCCACTCTGCTAAATCAGCCTTACAGTTTGTTTTAATAAAAATTGATAATTCCGTGACTGATATGCTCATTCAGCCTTGCATAGGGAAGATTTAATATCTACTATGAAAATGACAGTTTCTTTGCAAGTGGAACCAGTCTTCATGCAACATCACTGCCATAGTTTGATTCCTCTAGAAGGACTATGCAAGGATTACAGTGTAGGCAGAGATGTAACTTCTTTTCAGTGAAGATACAGAATATCCTGAGTTGGAAGGGACCCAGTAGGATCATCCAAGTTCAACTCCTAACAGGAGGCACCTAAGGGTGTGGTTTGGGGTTCGTTTCTTTTTTGGTCAGGAACAGTATGCTATCTCCGGTGAGATGGTAGAGTCTCTTGATTCCTTGCCATGCATTTGTGATGAAGGTTACACAGTACAGAAAACTGTGTTTCGTGGTGGTTCCAGAAACACTAGTCTCTATTAAGGTGTGCTTTCCTACAGTTTTGGTGCTGCCTGTTTTAGGAATTTAAGGAAAATAGAAATATATTACCGGATTTCATAGCTGTTATGTAACTGATATTATCAATTTGTTCAGTTGTGTTAGTTGTGCAAAAAAAGCTCTGTAATAATTGTACTAGGAGCTGTACGTGCATAAGGTAACCTTTGCTATGAATACAGTAACTTAGTAGTTACTAAGTTCCTTGCGTCTGTCATTGCTGCTTTTTAAAAATAATTTTTAAAATGGATTATTAAAGACTAAACATCATCAATGGAGTGATGGTTTGTTCTCCTTCTAATATTTTTAGAGATGATTTTTTGTTTTATAGGGAAAGCTTAGAGTTTGAGCATGGGGAATGTGGAGAGATTTTTAAAATTAAGTAGAGAATCTTATACTGAGAAACTTGCACTGTTTCTGACTATGACAAAATGTACATTATTATGACATAAGTATTAAACAAACAAACAAACAAGTTCTGTGAGAAAATAATGTAAATTTCTTTCAGGCTGGACCGTTAACCAAAGTGACAATTTGTAAGGACAAAGAAGGAAAGCCGAAGTCTTTTGGATTTGTCTGCTTTAAGCACAAAGAATCTGTGCCTTACGCGATTGCTTTGCTGAATGGAATCCGTTTATATGGAAGACCAATTAAAGTACGGTATCGTTTTGGTAGGTTTACTGGTCATGATGATTACATAAGTCTTTGTAAAAATTGAATTGTTTTCCTAAATGACTTTTTTAATCCTACAGTTTTTCAGAAAGATAACAATTTATAGTTGAATCTATTGCAGTCTTTTCTGTATTTTTAAGGAACAAAATCTTTTTGTGTTTTTTGCATGGCAAAGTGTTCACCATTTTTTGTTTACTAAGAAAAGACAATGGGTTGGTTCACAACAACACAACTTGCAAGCCAGCAAAGACCACACTGTATGGAATACAGAAACAACTCTGGTGTGGCCACAGTTGTCATGACACATTACATTTAGTAAGAGCAGCAACACTCAAGCTGTTTGACTTCTATACACAGAGTTGTTAGTTTTAAGTGGAAGAGATTGTAGGTAGAAAAACACAGTCAAATCAAAGTCCTAGTCTTCATTTTATGTTTATGAAAGTAAAGCTTCTAGAATGTTAATGATTAGGCAGTATTTGCAACCCAGACATTAAGGACTTGCATTCACTATGCACTGTGTTGCTCTTAGAAGGCTGTACAGAGTAGTTTCTGGTTGTATGTAAAGTGACTGAGGTTCCTAAAATCAGAAGCAATGGGAACAATTTTATTTGTGATTACTTCAACAATCCTGATTGACTTCTGTAAGTGACTGAGTATTAAATGATAAACAAATATTTTCAAGCAGTAAATTGATGCTGTACGTTGTCAGCCATAAATTGACACCTCACCATTATATGCTAACTTTGATATACTGGTGCACTACAGATAACACAGAACACTTTCTGTGTCTTTAATTTGTAAATCAAATAGTCATAACTGAATAGTCATTACAGTATTGTCTTGTTTACAGGGAGTTCGCACTCATCAGAACTAAACAGCCCGACACATGGTTTCGAGAACTATGTTGACTTATATTCACCTTCATATAGGTAACAAAGATCTATACATTAATTGTATGATTATGATTAAAAGAAATCCTGTTAAGAAAGTGACTTGATGTGGTAGAACAATCAGCAGTTACACACTTAATTGCATCCTTACTCACAGTGGGTTTTAGTTAATGTTTGGTTGTTCAGCTTGCCAGAGATTCAGTTAGTTGAATTTCCAATCCTGTTTGGTTTTGCAAGATACAGGCACATGAAAAAAATTATTTAAGTATGGTGTTTGTACTAGCAGTGTTTGCAGTTCTTAGGGAAAAAAAAATCTGGTAATGGAAATAATCCTTTCAAACCCCATTGAGTTTATATCTGTAGTTTTCTGTGTGTGTGTATATTTAAGCAACTGTCACACACATGACTGCACAGGTAGAAATCTGTTATAATGGAACTCTGGACACCCAAGTTTCAATGTCTTTAACATTTAAAATTCATCATTTTTCAACAAGTGTGACAGAATTCCCATGGTAAAATCCAGGACTCTGTCTACACTTCAGTATGTCAGGATTACTTGTTGATTACTTTTGTTTTCCTTGTTTTACTAGTCTTTCATGTAAGCCCAGATGTTAATATCTGCATTCTCCTCTTGGAAATACTCATTATAGCCTAAGAATTACATCTCAGCAGTCTACTAGGCAGTATTTGGTGGAAGTCTGGTCTCTGTGTGTTTGCTTGTTTTTCCTAGGTATCAAGAACCTTATGGAAATGCTCCATTTCCTGTTACTCCCTTTCCAATGAACAGTAGTTTACCTCAGGAATACTCAGTCTTTCAAAAGATGGTGAGTTTGTGTTAAAAGTTATAAATATGTTAACTTTTTTTGAACTTGAAGGTTTTCTGCATTCTGTCAAACAAGTGTGCTTATTTAATGACTCAAAATTTGGCTTAGGCTGCTAACTTTGACTATTAGGTCTGTGTATCACTTAAGGGATCTACTTAACCAAACTGTTTTCTTACTGCAGGAATGTCTTAAAGGTATAGCTTAGGGAGGCTAAGAAGTCAGTCTATAGAAGGAGCTCATTGCTGTACTGCGTTTCAAATCAAATCCCCTTGGTGAGACAAGATAAAAATGTAAATGTAAAAATATGTATATGTAAAAATACAACCATGAAAGCAATAGGTTCTTCATATATGGCTAATTCAGTCAGTGGTCACTTAACTCTTCTACTTACTTCAGATATGCCCAGCAGAAGTTTGAAATGTAGTTCTGTTCTAAAATTGAACTAAAACTCCTCCGACAACCACCACTGCCATTATGAGAAATGTTTAAGTTAAGGCAACAGCAATTTAAGGGTTTCTGGCCTGAACCTTCTCATACCTCTACAGTTCTCACATTGAATTCTCCTTTATTGCAGTAGACAGTGAGAATCATATTCCTTTTCTCTTTGTCAAACTCAGGTGCACTGGTCTAGTGTCCTAATCTCTGAGATATTCTCTGAATCAAGTGAACTGGTATCTTCAAATGGTAACCTATGGGCCATGCCCTACTTACTCATTAAGCACATCATGGAAATTCTGAATCTGATGAGTTGGTAGGAGTGAAGAAACCCAGCATTTAACTTGAGGTGCAGACTGTGGACAGTCCAAGTGTCACCCAGTCTGACCAGGGAATGGCCCTGCCTGTTGTAACCATAGAAGGGGTGAACTCTGGATAAATTCTACCTGATAGCTGCAATCTAAGCAGGAAGGTGGAGAGGGTCTGTTCGCTGTCACACAGATCTTTCTGGTGGTGGCCTGCCTCCCCACTTCCCAGGCTCAGTCCTCAGAAGATCTGATGCCTGCACAAACTTTTCCATCCTCTCTGTTGTGGTTGGATGCTTTGGAGGGTACCATTGCCCCCACTGTGCTCACTGTCAAGCCCATTTCTCAGTAACAATGCAGTACACAAAGATTGAAAGAGCAAACACTCAGCAGACCTGCACACACCAACAACTTAATTCCATTTTCTACTTGCTAGAAGAGATAGACAGTATCACAGCATGTCTCCAGTGATTGCTTTGTTGCAGCTTCAACAGAATGTATGCCTTCATGCATCTACCTCACCTTTATATGGTGTGTCAGACTTACTTGGAAGTCTCTTTTGCACACAAGGAGATACTCAGACATGCTTCCCATACTTTTTCAGGTTACTGACAGTCAGTAGAAAGATGCTTGCTCCTCTGACCTTTGTAATTCTATTTCTGTATTTGGACTGTGTATTTTTTATGAGAGATACTCTTGGGATACTTCAGAGAATGTATCAAGAAGATATGCACTTACTGTGGTGTTCTGAGTGCTTTAATCTATGGGTTCACTATACCTAACTTCAAAATTATTTGAATCAAACCAGATTAAAAGAAAAAAAAACAGATCTGTATGTCTTTATATTTACAAGTGGTATTGTAGTTACAAATATTTATAAAATGCATAGGTGAAGAAAAGAAAAGAATGCTATGTTTGATCACCTTACAAAAAGACTTAATGGGCAGTTTAATCTTAAATCAGATTGTGTGTTCCACCTCAACCATGAAAGATCGTATGTTTTCCAACTACACTAGTTGATCTAATAAAATAAATGTTTTGCCTTTAAATTTCATGTTTATTTACTATATATAATTTGCTGTCAATATTTTCATTGTAGAAACTGTAATGTATGTGAAATTAAGCTCTTCAGAACTTCCCCTTAACAGTATTAACAATTCAGGTTCTTATTTCCACAGATGAACCACTTTTTAGCACAGCAGTATACAGTTCACAGCCCAGTGGGTCAACAATTTCCTTACTATCAGATGACTCCGCCACTGCCTTCAAATTTATCCGTTCCTCCTTATCAGAATCAAGCTGCAAATTTTAAGTCTGGACAGAGTTCCTTTGAATTGGCCTTGCCACATTCAAGTGATTGTGAAGTGTACCAGGTGAATGAAAGTACTTCTAAAAGAAAGAGAGAACAGCAAAGCTGTGACAGTGACACTAGTACTGAAGATGACCAAATGAAACAAAGAGAGTGTGACCAAAAATACAAGAAGTGCAAAGCCACGAAAAAGAGGCATTAATACTGTGTAACTAGGTTAATTTTTTAACTATATTTGCTATTTTTACTTAAGAGAAATTCTCTCATTGTTGCACTTTATTAAAAAAGGAATGCTCAAGATTCATATTAATTTTGAAATGTATTGTGCGTAAATTATGCTGATATACTTTAACCTCAACCAAATTACTTTCTTTAAAGTATGGAAAACATTTAAAAAGTTAAAATTTTCCTTTTGAAGGAAAAAGTAGCTAGTTTTGTTTTTGTTTTCTATGAATTGTGAAAGACAATTATTTCACTACTGTAGAAACTTTATGAAAATATGTAATTTCAGCCACTTATAAAGCATATGTATCATTTCTGTGATTTATGGAGTTTATTTTTAGGACTGATGTAAGAACTTTCTGGAGCAATTGAACTGAGCAGGCTAGAAATTCTAGGCATCAGACTAGAGATGTGCTTGTCACATCAACACCTATAACTTCTACTCTTTTCTGATTTAGCTCTGCTGTTATGTTCTAGTAGGATCACTGTGTGTACTTACTGGAACTGTGGTGTGTTTTTTTCCCCCCACAGTATTAAATGTGAGGTAAAATTTGGGCATTTGCACTAACCACAAGACTTATATAATGTGTCAATACTTGAATGTATGTACTTTATGGCCACAATGTGTACTGACTAGAACTATATACACATTTATATATGTGTATTTCTATGAACTTACTCTCTAGTTATTTATTTACTTATTTGAGACTCTTGTTACAATTCGTTAATTGTAACAAATAGATAAAAAAACATAACAGAGTATCTCCATTATACCTAATTTGTACTATAAAAGTCAACTGAGTTAATAGTGCCTCTTAAGAAGAAAAGTTCCTACCTTGTTTGTGGAGGAAGAATAAATCTCATACAATGGTGAATCAAAATACTGACCTATTTTCTATCTTTCACAACTTTAATTATTTACAGCTGCCATCAACAACCTACAGGCAGATACAGAAGTATTTTTCTTTATTAGATCAAGTAAAGGTGAAACATTTTCATGATCCTTTTATGAGAAAGCAAAACACTTAATTTTCAGCTATTAATTGCTTAAAGTCTTCTGTGGAGACTGGATGTAGGCTCTAAACAGTAAACTGAGTTTAATAAAACCAAAATCCTTTTTCCTTAGATAATAATGTTGGGTTGCTCAAAAGGAATGCTTTTCATACAACGGTATTGAGAAAGAATACCCAAGTTTACTGGTTTAAAGTTGATAAGTTTTACAAGTCCAAATGAGTTTAAGAGATGGAAGAAAATATGGCTTGCAACAATTCCTAGTTTTTCTGATACTCTGAATCACAGCTAATGAATTAAATTTCTCAAGGATGCTGCTTCTAGCTTCCTAAAGGGATTACTTCTTGAGCCAAGGAGACTATTATTATAATACATATGTATGTATGGCACCCTTGAAATGTCATTAGCAGCAATTCAACAGTCTCTGGAAGGAACTTACATAACAAAGGTTTGTGCCTTAAATAAGATTGATGCCTTATGAAGCCTGCCCAATCACCTTTGCTTTTCCCTTCCACATTGCTATAAAAACACGTGCCTCTCTATCTTTTATGTCACACCAGTAGCTTTAGGGCTGAGGTATGTGAATGTAATCTAACTTCTGTTGAAATATATTGCTGACGTTATACCAGTAAACCAGTGATCACAAAACTTGCCACTGGATTTCTTTCAGTCCATGTTAAAGAAACGTAAATATAATCACTTAGAGGAAGAAGATGTTGACATCAGCTTAATTTAGAAGTGGAATTCATCCAAAAAAAAAAAAAAAAAAAGAAGAAAACAGAGATGTCCTGGCCAGAGTTGGACAAGATAAAAGAGAAACTTAGTCTATGCTGATATGTCCTTACCGGACTTATCGTTGGATAGGTATCCAAGGGCTCAAAGGGTTGTGGTAAATGGGGTTACATCAGACCAATCACCAGTGGGGCCCCCAGGTCTCCGTTTTAGGGCCAGTTCTTTTCAATGTTTTCATAAATGATTTGGATGTAGGACTACAAGGTGTTTTGAGCAAATTTGCTGATGATACTAAACTGGGAGGAGTTGTTGACTCTGTTGAGGGTGGAAAGGCCTTTCTGGCAAGATCTGGACAGACTGGAGAACCAGGCAATCACCAACCATACGAACTTTAACAAGAGCAAATGCTGAGTCCTGCACCTGGGAAGGGGCAACCCTGGCTATATGTACAGATGGGGAGACTAGAGGCTGGAGAGCAGCCACACAGAGAGAGGTCTGGGGGTTGTGGGTAACAGCAAGCTGAATATAAGCCAGCAATGTACCCTGGCAGCCAGGAGGGCTAACCGTATCCTGGGGTTCATCAAGCACGGCATTGCTAGTCGGTCAAGAGGGGTGATTTTCCCGCTCTACGCTGCACTGGTGCGGCCTCACCTCGAGTGCTGAGCACAGTTCCGGGCACCACAGCACAAAAAGGGTGTGGAACTGCTGGGGTGTCCAGAGAAAGGCTACAAAGATGGTGAAGGGACTAGAGGGGAGGAGCGGCTGAGGTCACTAGGCCTGTTAAGCCTGGAAAAGAGGAGGCTGAGGGGAGACCCCACTGCGGTGTACAGATTCCACACAAGGGGAGTGGAGGAGCAGGCGCCAAACTACTCTGTTTAGTGACAAGTGATAGGACCTGTGGGAATGGTGTCAAGCTGCAACATAAGAAGTTATATGATAAAATCGCACCGTTGCAGAGCCTCAGTCACAGTTTAAATTGGCGCTGCCTGATCTGGGGACCAGATCTGGGTCTTTTGGAGCAGCAGGTTTCTCAGAGAACCCCTTCCCCCCCCCCCCCATTGTTTTTATTCACAACTCAAGTACCCATGCCTTTAACATCAGCGTCCGTTTTCCTTCTTTTTCTTTCACGTCCTCTGCATGGTCATGTTGGTAGAACCACTGGGTTGCTCGGGCCTTGTTCTCGCTCTGTCATCTTCCTTTCACAGAGGGACGCTTTCCCCAATACTTCAGACTCCTGTTTGAACAGGTGAGGAGGCGGGAGGCAGATAGGTTCTTTCAGTTGACAGACCTCTTCCAAAACTTTCTCCACAGCCGAGACGCAGGCCTGAAGGGAAGAGGAGAGGCTTTCTTCATACTGCTTTTGACTTACATGTTGTGAAAATGGCATTTCTGTTATGAACAGCACAGTCTGGCTATTTCCACTCAGTGAAAGTTACAGTAATGCCACCGGTACCTATCCCAACCTGTTTCTACTTACCACAGGGCTTAATTTCAGTTCACATTAAGGCACCTTTCTCACACTGCCTGTTGTTCAAGCTTAAAAAGCAGTTAGGAACATTCTGCAAAGTAAGGCTTAACTGTAAGCACTTGAGCTTCTGAGTTGGTGGCGGTTTATTTTTATTATTATTTGTGTAAGGCCTGGAAAGGGAGCTTAGAATCCACAGAAGTAATTCCACTGAAAACAGAGAAGGTGAAAGAAGTACTCAAACTCCTCAACATTAAAGTACTGTAGAACCCAGGAACACTTACCTGCCAGCTCCTGAACTCAAGTCACTTCCACACGGCTTCACAGTGAAGTCACACCACCAGGCTCTCACTGTACTGAGGAGGCACCAACAACACAGCTAGCTCATAGAGTCACTCAAACTATTTCACAGAGATGGGGGGAAACACAAAGAAAAAGCAGCCCACCAGGGAACACTCAGTCCACTTCACCACAACAGCAGAAAAGCACCCTAGAGCCTCAAACTCCCCCCAGGGAGGCAATTCCCCACAAGTCCTCAGGCTTCCTATATAGCAAAAGTCAAATGATCCACACCTGGCAGGTTTCACTTCACAAGGGTGGAGCCAAGACAACTTGTGGAATAGGCTCATCTACCTGGCTTCAGTCTTTTAAGGTCAATTGCTCCTTATCACTCATAGAAATAACCTGACAAGGGGCTGAGTGGTTAGGGTTGACCTAATGAATGAACTGCAAAAGTTGCACAAGGGTCATATTTCTGTCAGTCATTCTGTGAGGAAAAGTAGTACACAGTCTGGTAAAATAAATAAATAGATAAATAAACAAATGAAAGAAAAGAAATAAAAGAAAAAAGAATATGACCTTAAAGGCAAAATTGCTGTCAGAGTTTTATCTGTCTAGTCATGACAGATAAAGAATATAGCAATCAGAATGACTTTTCTTGGCATTAATGGTATTTAAATCTGGTTTTCTGAGATGTCTTCTTGATGCAGGACTTTCCAAAATCTAGCCCCGTGACCTCTGACTACACTATTTACTTCCGCTGCATATAAGCTATCACGTACAAAGGCCAGGATCCGGAACCTCACTCACTATTCAGGTCAAGGACTGGGCTGAAGGTTTGGGCTTTGATTTGGGTACATGCCTACATTGCTGCTTCCTGGCAGGTCATGGGAAGAAGATCGGCTGGCCTGGGGGAGCTCCTGTACACGTGGCTTTTAGGCTGTAGCCAAAGTGTTCCTCTCTGGAAGTCTGAAGAGGGTTGCAGTCCCCAAGCTCAGATACAACTGCATGTTAGTCTGGTGCAACTGATTTTTGTGTTCCTTGCACTGGCTGTTCTTTCACCTCCTCTCCAGAGGCAAGGACATGCATCTCTTTCGTGCTCCTTCATTAGTAAACAAAGCAGGAGAGATTAAAGCCTCCTTCTTCAAGTCAGTAAGATACTGGGCTACAAAGATGGCAAAGGGCCTAGAGAGGAAGACGTATGAGGAGCGGCTGAGGTCACTGGGCCTGTTCAGCCTGGAAAAGAGGCGGCTGAGGGGAGACCTCGTCGCAGTCTACAGCTTTGTCACGAGGGGGAGTGGAGGGGCAGGTACCGATCTATTCTCTCCAGTCACCAGTGATAGGACCCACCGGAATGGTGTCAGCCTGAGGCAGGGGAGGTTTAGGCTAGACATCAGGAAGAGGTTCTTCACTGAGAGGCTGGTCGCACACTGGAACAGGCTTCCCAGGTGTCGTGGTTTAACCCGGCCGGCAGCTAAACACCACGCAGCCGTTCGCTCATCCTCCCCCCTCCCTCTCTGGGATGGGGGAGAGAAATGGAAAGTGAAGCCCGTGAGTTGAGATAAAGACAGTTTAATAAGACAGGAAAATAATAATAACAAAAATAATAATAACAGTAATAATAATAATAACACAATGGTGATAATAGGAAAATAATAATAGTATGTACAAACAAGAGATGCACAATGCAATTGCTCACCACTCGCTGACCGATGCCCAGCCTAACCCTGAGCAGTCCGGCCCCCTCCCCCCGGCTAGCCATCCCTATATATTGTTTAGCATGACGTCAGATGGTATGGAATACCCCTTTGGCTAGTTTGGGTCACCTGTCCTGGGTCTGTCCCCTCCCAGCTCTTACTGCACCCCCAGCCTGCCCGTTGGCAGGACAGAGCAAAAGGCTGAGATGTCCTTGGCTTGGTGTAAGCACTGCTCTGCAACAATTAAAGCATCGGGGTGTTATCAGCACTCTTCTCATCCTAAGCCAAAACACAACATTCCACCAGCTACTAGGAAGAAAATTAATTCTGTTCTAACTGAAACCAGGACACCAGGGAAGCAGCCACTGCACCAAGCCTGTCGGCGTTTACGAAGCATTTGGACTGTGCACTTAGTCACGTGGTCTGAAGTTTTGGGTACACCTGTGTGGTGACAGGAGTTGGACTCGAGGATCTCCTCAAGAAACTGTCTGCTCGTGGCTTGGACTGGCGTACGCTTCGTTGGGTTAGAAACTGGCTGGATAGCCGGGCCCAAAGAGTTGTGGTGAATGGAGTCAAATCCAGTTGGCATCCCCCAGAGCTCGGTGCTGGGGCCAGTCCTCTTTAATATCTTTATCGATGATCTGGATGAGGGCATTGAGTGCAGCCTCAGTAAGTTTGCAGATGACACCAAGTTAGG